ATTTCTGGGTTTTTTGGCAAGTACAAGAAAATAGATATACATCTGAAATATTTACAATTTTCTTGTACTTTTATAATGACAATTTACAAAAGACATAACAAAAATTACAGAAATTTATGAAAACATCCCAAATAATCCAGTAGCCAGAAGAACATGTCAAGGTACATTTAAAAAAAAACATCATTAAACACATTGAAACCATGTGAAAATCCATTTTGGGATCATTCAATGTACCATTCATTAACCCACAAACAAGATTGGAAAGTTACATCTGATTTCAGAGGAACTACATAAATACAAGTAATACCTATGGCTGTAGTAAATGTGGGTGATTATCATTTTAGGTTCAATCATAGGAAGAGAAAACAAATTTCGGCACGTTGAGAAACTCCTGTTCAAAGGTGAGCAGTAGAGTTCTTGCAGTGTATGACTATATATTATATATATATGGTTTCATCTTACTCATAAAAACTGAGTAGGAAAAATAAGGCTGAGTATACTATATAAACTTCAAAAGACCACACAGTAATGCATTTTTGTGAACTCATTAAGGAAGAACTTGTGCAAACCTGATTTCCTCAGGGTCTGGGGATGATATCTTGCACAGTGTTTTTCCACCTGTTAGAAATATTTTTTCTCTTCTGGGATGAAAAAGATATTTGACACAACCTAATATGACTAATTAACATATTTATATTTGGAAAACACTAAAAATATACTTTGTGTGTGTGTGTTCAATATCCTTCATATATTTTAGGTTTGTACAGAAAATTCATTACACTGATAGAAAATTGTGTCACTATGTTACAGGTACATCTAGTTGTATTACTAATTACCAGAGGACACATCCAGAACATAAGATTATGTACTGCTGACATGTACAGCATCTGGTTTAATTAAAACCAAAGATGTAGATGAAAATTGGAATTTTAAATTGTATCATTTATCCTTCAATATTCTCTTTGGATAATGTATATTTTTAGATGGTCAACATGTCAATGTAGATGGGAGGTATTATTGGTTAACACAAATACTGCATAATTTAAAGTCTGAGATGAAAGTTTGGCTGGTGGTTCTATAATCAACACAGAACTTTATATAAAAAAATCTGGTACCCTCATATAACATAGATGGTACAATTATATCAGATTCAGAATTGTGTCCAAAAGAATGCATCTTTTAAAAATAAAAATGGGTTTTATTTCAGAGAAACCAAAGATAATTTTCTGAACAGATAGCTTTGAGTTCTATGACTAATACACAGAACTCTGTATCTCTCCTTGAGGCAGACATCTCATTCTATCTCATAATAGCAAGTGCTACTTATTTTCATAATTGACAAAATGTAGCTACTTTCATGTAAATTTCCCAGTATCTTTTAAAAACCTAAATTCAAGTCTTCATTCAAACTCCTCCTAAGAACTATAAAGTGAAAACTTAAACGTTGTATTTTATGGTTAGATTGCAAATTATATAGTAGTATATTTCATATTTTAGGAATTTATTTTTAGCTATAAATTACATGCTATTATTTCAAATTATGAAATCTAGAAGATTATTGTAAGCATAAGGGCAAATCATATTGTTTTATATTGTCTGATTAATACTTAAATTCATAGAATTGAACTTACTGTGCTGAAATTAGGTAACTGAAAAATTTTGTGAACTGGAACAGAAGCTTCATGTACACAACGAAATTTCAAGAATATAAAAGCAAATTATCATTTCAAACAAAATTTCTCCAGTTTGAATTACATGTGCAAGGATCACTCTATTCAATATGTTTTAATAAACTGTAACAACAAAGGCCAAATTATTATATTTACATGTTTTAGTTTCCTATTATTTGACACTGGCCAAAAGCCAATGGGAGTTTTACCTCATTCCACTTATCACCAGTAAGTGTCTTAAATGGGATGGAGATAGTTGAGCAAGAAAAAGAAGTTCAAAACCACATTGGGCATATGTAAAATAACAGACAGAATTTTCTAGGCTTTTAACATCAAGTCTTTCATACAATACTGCTAGGGTGTATTTAATGTTCTTTAACTGATATATCAACTTAATTATATTTATTAAGGAATATATATCTCAGACTTAATTCAAGGTTATTACCCTTTCATGCACTATTTAAATTAGCAGAATGTTCATATGGACAAATTAGTTGGATATTAACTGTGACTTCTAATTGTATTATTAAGCTCCTGAAACCTTCTGCCTCAAAAAAAATATTTACCTTTAATTTTTACCTTTGGGTCTTCTTTTCACTTTGACCCAAACAGTAATCATGTGGCCTTCCAGATGATGACAGAATACAACTCCCACAATACATCTCTTGACACATCCTTGTAATATATCATTCCCTCTAGAATTTGGGGATAGGTTTCTCTAAGATGAGAAGAGGACTTTCTTTTCTTCCCATCACTGACACATACATATTTTAACAGTTAAACATGCATAAAGGACAATAGCTCTTATATTTATAAAATGAATAGCAAAACTATGATGATGATTCTTTAGGAAAACTCAACTTATGTTTGTACAATTACTGGAAACAGTCACTGCACTAAGACCATAAAATGCCTAACTAACGGCCAAATCTTCCCTCAGCATATATAAAACACCCACCCCCACTGGCCCATGAATCATTTAGCAAAATTCTAAGCATTAATAAATAAAACAGTACTGTACTGCTGTACAGTAGATTCCAAGAACTTTTAGACTTAAAAGAAGTACTACAAATATAAGTATTTTGGGTTGAAAGTCTGCATTGTGCACATAGGTTTCTATAAAAAGTTTTTTGAATGAAATAAAAAAATAAGCAGGATTATCACGTGAGGAAAGAGACTTATGGAATGTCAGGTGTAAGGGAACCTGAACTGTTTTAAAAATACTGTAAATATAATTCTTACTTGCAAATAGCAAAGATTTGCAAACATTTTACAAAATTTTGAAACATCCTGCAGATAAAATTAAGTAAGAAGAGCATGCAGTCAACAATAATTAAGTGTCATCTACTCAGAAAAGTTTAAGACAGTCAATAATAAATAAAACTAATACATTTTTCACTGTGTATTGAGTGTACTTATTATTCTTGAAAAAAATCATAAATTCCATGTGACAAGTGCAAAAAAATTTGAAACTCAAAAAATACCTGTTATAATGTGAAACGACACATGTTCATGATAATTATTCTCTACTTAATTAGTATGTAACCTAATGATAGCTATGTCTACAGAAGTAAACAGTGTTTATTAGATAACTGAAAAAATCTGGAAGCCAAGAAAAGTTAATTGCTGTAAGATAAAAAAAAGGGAACATAATGATTCTCTAGTGAGAAACTTCAAATATTTTTGACCATTGGCAGCATGTTCAAATAAATTTTCAGGCTTAAAGAAAAAAAGGCAATAAATCGCTGTAACTAGAATCTTAAAGAAATGAAAGTGACTTTTAAGTAAAGAGAATCCTGGTAGTGCAGTGGTTAGAATGCAGTACTGCAGGCAAACTCTGCCTATAGCTTGGAGTTCGATCCTGATGGGGCTCAAGGTTGACTCAGCCTTCCATCTTTCCAAGATCAGTAAAATGAGGATCCAGATTGTTGGAGGCAATATGCTCACATTGTAAACAGCCCAGAGAATGCTGTAAAAGCACTATGGGGCAGTATATAAATGTAACTGTTATTGATATTGCTATTAAAAGAAAGTGATACCCAAAAAAATAGCACACTATTATTTAATTTATTGGAACTAAAACATAAGACAGCATCAACCTTTGGAAAGCATATATTAAAGCTATTCTAAATGTCACATTGTTAACTATATTCTACGCTACTTTAAAAAAAAACCCAAAACTATGAATAATATTGAAGACAACTATGTATATTTTCTTGGTGTGGAAAAAAGCATGCAAGGTTTATCAAGGGTGGAAAAAGAACCAGAGAATAAATTGTCAAAAAAAGAAGAAGCAGCAACTCATATGACTGCATAAATGAAATTGTACTGATACATTCAGCTAGAATCACATTACTTTACAGGCTATAAAGAAGTCTATTAAAAATAAGAAATTTATATTGATTACTGCCATGAAGAGAAACATCTCTTACTGAATAGAAGAATCAGGAATTCTATACAAAGTTCTATGAATAATCAATATTACAAATATATAACTGCTTTTTGGAATTTTTAATGTGTAGAAAGTACGGCATTAATATTTATTTTTTGTTTAATCCACATTTAAATAGGGTAGTCAAACAGAACTTGAAAGATACAGGAATATAAGTTCTAAAAATTTTCACAATGTCTACAACTTTACTGCCACTAGCTATAGTTTTTGTTTGGTTGTTTTGAATACTTAAGGAAGGTCTAATGCTCAAATCTATGAATGAACCCAGTGATTTCAAGAGGCTTCAAGTTCAAATCAATGTGTTCAAGTAGTTAAGCTCTTAAAGCCTATCCAGATAATGCAATAGCTCACAGGGCTCACTGGTAGTCTCCTCTAGCAGCGCTAGATCAGTCTTCAAGCATAGCAACCACTGACTGTAATAGCTGTTGCTTCTTGAACCTCTTAGTTTCAACTTTGGCTTCCTATTACTAAACAAGAAGTTTATAAATACTATTTTACAAATCTTAAGAATCAAGACTATTCCAATACTGGCTCCTCAAATCCTAAAGAAAAACCCATGTTGCTCTCCTTTTCTGCAAATATCTAAGGACAGGGCATATAATAACAGGACCAACTGGATCCTAAAGATCTGAATTAGCTATTTGGCAATTAATTAATAAGACAACAAAAACCACATATCACTTCTAAAAAGAAATGCATGCAATTAGCAGAGGAGGGAAAGGGAAGGAATAGTTGGAGATACCACTCTCATACTTACCTGACCATATCTCCCAATGAAAAGTGTATTCAGTACAGCATACTGCTACATAATTCAAGAATATATATTTATTACATTTTCAAAATTAGTAAATTAATTATCCAGGAACAAATTTGCCCACCTCTTTAACGATGACGATATTCTCGTTCTCTATCACGCTCTCTATCACGGTCTCTATCACGGTCACGATGCCTCTCACGTTCACGGCTTCTTTCCCGATAATAATCATCATGGCGATCTCTGCTACGAGATTTATGGCGTCGGCTTTTTTCCCTTGATCTACTATGGTCTCTCTCCCTTGAACGTTCACGTCTTCTAAAAGAAATTACTTCCTTAATTCTCTAAAATCAATTTACATATCTTGTAATAATCTAAAATTTCTTGAAGTTTTGAATAAAAAAAACTAGTCCCAGTACAACTACTTATGATGAATATGTTTTGATAGCCCCATTTTTCTAAGTAATGCAAGGAATGACTGTTATTGAGATGAAAAGGCAAAATAGATTTTTGTAGTACTAATTACAAATATACAAAATGTTCTGGGCACAAAAGCTTGATGCATTAAAGAACTAGTTTTGGACTGTCCATGCCTGAACCAAAACATGCTTCTTTGAATGTTTTAGTCCATCCACAAATGAAGCAGGGTTATTTTGCTCCATGTATAGGAATAAAACAGGATTTTTGCAGGCCAGTGAATCATTGGCAACAGCTGAAAGACAGGAGGGTAGGGAAAATGGTAGGATGATAGGAGATGGGCCAATGGTACATGAAGTGCCGAATGCTGAGAAGGGATAGAAGAGGCAATGTATACCAGCCTTGTCTTATTTGTTCATCCATATTTTATCTCACCCCAAATCTGCAAAGTATTATATATTTTTTGGTTATACTGAAGTATGGCTGAAGTAAAACAGTTTGGTAGACCTCAAGAACACAATGTTTGTTCTGAATTTGGAAACGCATTTTTCCTATCTCGTGTACAGGTATACTCTTGGCATTGATTTTGAAAATACAGTGTATTTCTTTTTACTGGATTCACTTCAGAGCTAGATGCTATTTAAAAATGTTTTCTTACTTTCTATTCTAAAATTTCATCACAAATCTTTATAATTTTAGTTCCATTTGTTTTTATAATAATTTTAATTATATGTTTGTGCGCACATGTATGTGTGTGTGTGTGTGTAAAAGGTGGCTTAAATAGGATTGCTATTCCACTGAATGAATTTGCACATGACATGACTAAAAATGAATTTTCAAATTTTACATGTATTTTCCTAACCAAAAAATTGAATGTCTAAAGATAAAAAGAGATCCAAGAATCATACATTTATTACAGAACTCTTCTTGTTCTACTAAACATCAAGTCAAGATTTTTAAACAAAAGGTTTACCTTGACCCAGAACCGTAAGACTTTGATTCAATCCCATGAAGACAATCTTGCAGAGAGCTAATAAGTACTTTGCAGCGATCATCTGCAGATACTTTGGACTGTTTAATTAATGAAATTGCAGTCACCAATGTTTCTATAGCACTTCCATATTCCGCTGGAAAATAAAATTTGGTGAACAGATATGTATTTGATTACTATAAAAAAAACATATAGTTCAAATATTTTCTTTTCCTTCTCAAAAATGTACCAAAACTAAAATCATGCAAATATATAGTGAAGGAAAAAAGTATTTGATCCTCTGCTGATTTTCTACGTTTGCCCACTGACAAAGAAATGATCAGTCTATAATTTTAATGGTAGGGTTTATTTTAACAGTGAGAGACAGAATAACAACAACAACAAATCCAGAAAGACGCATTTCAAAAAAATTATGAACTGATTTGCATTCTAATGAGTGAAATAAGTATTTGATCCCCTATCAGTCAGCAAGATTTCTGGCTCCCAGGTATCTTTTATACAGCTTGTTACCTGTATAAAAGATACCTGTCAATCAATCAGATTCCAAACTCTCCACCATGGCCAAGCCAAAGAGCTGTCCAAGGATGTCAGGGACAAGATTGTAGACCTACACAAGGCTGGAATGGGCTACAAGACTATTGCCAAGTAGCTTGGTGAGAAGGTGACAACAGTTGGTATGATTATTCGCAAATGGAAGAAACACACAATAACTGTCAATCTCCCTCGGTCTGGGGCTCCATGCAAGATCTCACCCCATGGAGTTTCAATCATCATGAGAACGGTGAGGAATCAGCCCAGAACTACACGGGAGGATCTTGTCAATGATCTCAAGGCAGCTAGGACCATAATCACCAACAAAACAATTGGTAACACACTATGCCATTAAGGACTGAAATCCTGCAGCACCCGCAAGGTCCCCCTGCTCAAGAAAGCACATGTATAGGCCCGTCTGAAGTTTGCCAATGAACATCTGAATGATTCAGAGGACAACTGGGTGAAAGTGTTGTGGTCAGATGAGACCAAAATTGAACTCTTTGGCATCAACTCAACTCTCTGTGTTTGCCTATGACCCCAAGAACACCATCCCCACTGTCAAACATGGAGGTGCAAACATTATGCTTTGGGGGTGTTTTTCTGTAAGGGGACAGGACAACTTCACCACATCAAATCTTGGGTGAGAACCTCCTTCCCTCAGCCAGGCATCGAAAATGGGTCGTGGATGGGTATTCCAACATGGCAATGACCTAAAACACACAGCCAAGGCAATAAAGGAGTGGCTCAAGAAGAAGCACATTAAGATCCTGGAGTGGCCTAGCCAGTCTCCATACCTTAATCCCATAGAAAACCTCTGGCTCTGGAGGGAGCTGAAGGTTCAAGCTGTGGTTGCTGGAACTGGGTATGTCTAGTTTAACGAAGAGAAGGACGAGGGGGGACATGATAGCAGTGTTCCAATATCTCAGGGGCTGCCACAAAGAAGAGGGAGTCAAGCTATTCTCAAAGGCGCCTGAAGGCAGGGCAAGAAGCAACAGATGGAAACTGATCAAGGAGAGAAGCAACTTAGAACTAAGGAGAAACTTCCTGACAATTAGAACAATTAACCAGTGGAGCAACCTGCCTCCAGAAGCGGTGAATGCTCCAACACTGGAAGTTTTTAAGAAGAGACTGGACAGCCATTTGTTCCTGCCTGAGCAGGGGGTTGGACTCAATGACCTCCAAGATCCCTCCCTACTACTACTACTACTACTACTACTACTACTACTACTACTACTACTACTACTTCTTCTTCTTCTTCTTCTTCTTCTTCTTATTATTATTATTATTATTATTATTATTATTATTATTATTATTATTATTATTATTATTATTATTTGGAGACGACGCAAAGAGGAGTGGGACAAAATCCCTCCTGAGATATGTGCAAACCTGATGGCCAATTACAAAAAATGTCTGACCTCTGTGATTGCCAACAAGAGTTTTGCCATCAAGTACTAAGTCATGTTTTGCGAAGGGGTCAAATACTTCTTTCACTCATTAAAATGCAAATCAATTTATAACTTTTTTGAAATGAGTTTTTCTGGATGTTTTGTTGTTATTCTGTCTCTCACTGTTAAAATAAGCCTACCATTAAAATTGTACACTGATCATTTCTTTGTCGATGGGCAAACGTACAAAATCAGCAGAGGATCAAATACTTTTTCCCTCACTATACAATAAGCTGATAAACCTGTTCTTGGTGTACAGTACACCACTTTAGATTATAAACTAGAACTTAAAATGAATGAGTAGGACTCAGTCATAAGATTTAAGTCCATCACTTTAAAAAATATAATTAAATACTAGGGGAAAAGATTCCACTCTAGTATTCCTCCTGACACGAATAGTCTCTGTATAAAAATCTTTTTTTAAAAAAAGTATGCTATCATATGTGCTCTATGACAGGGGTCCCCAAATTATGGTCCGCGGCCCAGTACCGGCGCGCAGCCTGTTGGCCACCAGGCCATGGGAATAGCTGGCAAGCTTCACCCACTCACGGTAGCACCGCTGCGCGGTCACTAGCAGCCCCATTTACGCATGCGTGGGGGATGTTAGCACTGCTGCATCATGCGGGTGCCGGTGGCCCATTTGCACATGTGCGCACCCCATTGATATGCATGGCCTGTTTGCACATGCGTGTGGGCATCAGCCCACTTGCACATGCGCACGCACATTTCCCTGTTGCTCCTGTTCCTTCCGGGCCACCAAGCCAGAAAGGTTAGGGAACTCTGCTCTGAGTCCACTCCCCCTCTCCCTTCTGGAATGGAACAACGATCCTTGGCCAACTCACAACGGCCAACTTGCTGCAGCTAATTCGCTGTGGGACAATTCACCACAGCTAACTCTCCACAGGCCAATTCAATTTAATTAAAAAATTATTCTAATTTTTATCATTCACATTTCATTTTATCCCTCCTTTTGCATCCTTTAATGATTCTATTCCACCATTTCTTTGATATTAGTGTAACTCTTGTCCCGCAGCAAGTTGGCCACAGTGAGTTGTCCTAGATCACCCTTCTATCTGACATACAATACACAGATTTACTTATCCATCATTCATACAAACATCAATTTAATAATATTAAGCAACATTAGAATCTATACCACTCTACTCTTCCAAATCGTTCAGTAGATTGAAGAGCTGATGATACCTGTAATTTCTGAATTATAGTTTACAGTTACAGATTATATATGAACAATAAAAATCCAGTATACCTATCCTTTCTTGAAACTTGTGTAAAAGTTTTTCCACATGTATATTCATAAAAGAAGTATACAATTTTGTTGCTGTTATATTTTTTCTTTTAATTATTGCTTTCTTTTGTTCCATTTTATTAAATAAAAGCAAAATGTTTAAAAATCCAAAAAGTATTTTTATATTTAAAAGTTAAAAGAATTTATGATATCAACAACTGGTAAAGCTTTAAAATCAGGCAAAAATAATGAATAAAAATACTGTATTATAAATGCTTTCTGGAAGGATAATATTAGTCAGAGTTGAAACACTAATAGAGGGGCCAAAAGTCAAATGTATGGCGTAAACTTATACTTTGTTTGTACTTCAGAAACAAAGCCCCACTTCCTTGCCCTTGGAAGCTATATATAAGAAAATAAAGCCACAAAAATTACCTCTCCAGAAGAAATGTCCTAATTCATACAATAGGAACCAATCCTTTAGATAAGCATAGCGGTAAGCAATAAATATCCTTTGACCAGAAAGCTTTATTTCCTATATTTATTTTTCCAGTTCATCTCTTGCTTACATGTAAATACAGATTATAGAACAAAATAGTCACTAAATTAAATATACTGACCAGCACTTGCATCTGATACAGCTCTTGAAATGGCACTGCTAGAGATAGCCCTATTTCTATTCATAATTTCTTCAAATTCTGCTTCACTTAATGGTGTCCTTGCAGCATCTATTTCTCTGCAAACAGATACAAGTTCATTTTTATTTACTTCCAGCAGCACAATATTACAGAAATTTTAATATGGAATTATAAGCAAAACACATAAAAAGAAAGCTTTTTCTTTGCATACAAAATCTGCAAGCTAGAGAGAAAAAAGTATACTATCACAAAAGCAACAATTCTGATATATTTATGCAGTGCTTTCCATCTTCAGAAAGCTTCAGATGCTTACAAAACTTCTGTCAATCAATGTATGATAATTCAGGTACAGAATCAAAGTTGCCCCAATCAAAAAGTATGGCCTCAATACATATGCTTATTCTTTTATAAGAAACAATAAGTAAATAATTGTGCCAAGAATTAAAAATATTCTATGTTCTGTAATGATATAGTACACATAAGCAAGATAATATGCTGGCTGCACACTTGGCTAATTACTTAATTACCTAAAATTGGAGATAGAAAATGTTAACTTATTCTGCTAGTGCCCTTTTGAACTTTGTGACATCTGTCAATCTCTATCTTAAACAAGATCTGAAGACTGACAATATGAACAGAGCGATCTTTTTTCCTTCTACAGGCACTCTCCTACACCCAAGATGTAATTAACCAGTTTTCTCCTTTCCTCAGCTTGTAACAAATACAAATCAAAATCACATAATTTCACTGAGACACTTAGAAAGGAGATCATGCTTTGTGTGATGTTAGACTGTATGTTCTTCATATTCCTTCCAGTACTATAAATTATATGGCTTAAATTGCTTTTGAGAAATGTTTCTTGCAAATGTTAGTTCTTCTGGTAGAAAGAAAATGCAGAATAAGCAATTCTATCCTCTTAAGAGCAAGAAGTGGATCAAGATCCTACAGCTGATTTAGCATAAGAGGAAATGTCTAAAAATTCATACCTCCCTGCGTTTTGAGTATTATTTTTCGTTTGTCTCCAATACAATGGCATATGTAATTGTTCTCTTATGGACATGTTATTTCCAGTGAAACGCCTATGATATATAATTGACAATTTAAATATAGTTATGGATTGTAGTTGAGATCATCATGAAAATATTGGTCATTATGTGCAGAGGTTCTACTTCTGCTTTCACCACCCTCAGCCCTCCTTTGCTTATTAAATTATTCTCTTTATATTAAAATATAAATTTATTGAGTTCTTTGCATATTCTTTCAAGCATTTATGCATAATGCTTTAACTTCATAAAAATAAGCTTTTTTACATTTTAGATGTTAATTCCACAAATAAATTAATACTACTGGACTCAATGTTTCAGAAAAAAACTATGCTACTTATTTAACAAATCTTCATGCCCACAAAGCCTCACTGATATACTTACAACATGCAAAAAAAAGTATGTATCACAACCTACAAAATTTTGAGGTGATATAACATTCACATAATATAAATACCATCAAAAAATAAATATAAATAAACACTATAAGCCTACAGCATGCTTTCAAATGAAGCTAGCAAATAAGTTGAGTGATGAAGCAGTCATGTGAACTCACTATAGATATTCATAAGCTGAATATTGAAAAGGTACTGCTCAAATACACTGCAAAATGCCTGTTGTCATCCTTTATTTTGTAATGGGTGTTTGCTCATATATTCTGCCACCTGAAAATGTTCTCTAACTCTATCACAATAACTAGTTATTCTAGACAATAAGTATTGCAAATGAAGATCCCTAAACATAGGTAAAGCATACTGAAAAGAAAAGCATGCCAAAGTAAGACAATCCACAGAGGTTCTATTAGAGGCCTCTTCAAATTCTGTCCATTTAGTACAGCTTTGTAGTATTTTGAATCTGAAAGGAAAAAGTGCTTTTGTATACATAAGTGCACTCATATAGTACTTGCAGTAACTCCATAAACACAGCTACTTCTTTTCTCGGGACTGCATGTTTGCCCTCTGCAACTGCAGAGCAATTTGCATCCACACAGGGTCCAAAACAACTTTGTCCCTTCAAACCAGTCCAACTCTATAATTTAAATCTTAAGACAGTAGATACTGAACTGTATTATAGGCTATTATGCCACTGAGAGAACTGTGTCCATCAGAATAATGAATTTTAACATTCCAGAGCAGATGGGTATCTATGTATAAGAGACAGAAGAAAGCAAAAGCCATGTCTGTTATACAAGTATAAATCTCCCTGCATTTAATAGTTAGCAGTTTTGTGAGTAACAGACTCATTAAAAGAAGGATATTTAAAGTTAAAAGCAAATCTACCGAAGGCAAGAGAGATGTAATATATCTCATTAAAATAATATTCATAATACATTCTTTAAAAGGCTTACGTACAATACATAAAGGACAAAAACAAATATGTAAATGAATGAAAGACAAAAAACCTAAGTAGTATTTTTAATCAACTGTTTGGTACAATGCTTTGGTAGGCAGGTGTCACAACACCCCTGGGAACCAAATAGTGACAAAGAGGAACAGTGACTATTCAGTTAAAGTATGGGTGAGCTCTATATACACTTTTTTGCAATTATGAGCCTCAATTTTCTTTTAGCAGGGTTTCCCTGGTGAAACATGTTTTTGTATCACTTTCTAATGCAAAATGACAGATATTCCCCACTGCAGAGAATTCTAGAACTCTTATCAACAGAAGAACATTGGAGATCCCAAAGTCATAAAATACTCACAGGGGGGTTAAAAATAGGAAAATACTGTTTTAATGATGACACCAGATGTTAAATATCTCTTGTCCAAAATGTAACAATACTATCTGAATGGGCTCTAGAATTTCCTTAAGTCAATAAATATGCAATACATGCAAGGCATACTCACCTGCCTGGTGGCCCATAATCACCTCTGTCATATGGTGGAGGTCGGCCATAGGGGTCTGAAGGTGGTGGACCACGACTGTCTGATGTAGGTATGCCACTGTTGGCTGGTGGGGGGAAGAAAGCTGGATTCACGTGTGGGGCGGGAGGGGGAGCTCCTGGTGGTGGCCCAGGTAAGTGAGGAGGAGGAGCCAATGTAAGGGGTGGTCCTAAAGGACCAGGTGGACGAGGGGGGAAAGGACCTGGAGGTGGAGGAGGACCTTGCTGTGGGGGTGGAGGACCTGGTGGAGGACCATAGCCTGGAACTGGAGGTGGAGGACCAGGTGGAAGTGGACCCAATGGAGGTTGGCCAAACGGTTGTCCTGGAAACAGAACTGGAGGAGGGGGACGGTCACCACGATTAGGAGGACCAGTTAGTGGAGGAGGCAGAACCTGGCCAGGTGGAGGAGGACCTGGTGGGCCTGGTGGGCCAGGAGGACCTAGAGGTGGACGTGGAGGAGTCTGTCCAGCTAAAGAGGGAGAGAAAAATGTCCATTATTAATATTCTACTGCCCATGTTTTTCCAAACACATACAAACATTTGCAATAAGTATGCTGTCTCATAGATAAAATCCAAATAGATGTCAAGATTCTAATTCTCCTCTTTTTAGACAAAAGGAAGGATAAAAACTAAAAAAAAAATAACAGTAATCATATTAATGTCATTTGATTTGCTGTTTGTTTCTATAAAAGAATTATTCAAAGAAGTCTTCTTCCTCTGTCTCTTTTATTTAAAAAGCTCACAATTTGAGTATAGGCTCAGAAGGGAAGTATCAACAGTAGAACATAGAATAAGCATACCATCAAAATAAACAAAAATGAAAATGACAAATATGGAAGAAACCTTATAAATAAAACTACGATACCATACTGCTGAGTCTCGCTGGGAATCAGGTGAAATATACATTTAATAAATTATGTTGTTGTTATTCATTTTATTTAACAAACAATTTAGGAAAGCTTTTGACAACTTAGGCAGCTTTAAAAGGAGTTTCATTCTATTCTAAACGGACTACCTTTTCAAACGGAAAAAGTGGAAAGTCTATATTTTAATAGAAGAGAAACCATTAGTTAATGTAAAATTAACTAATGTTTTACATTTCTGTTTCTATTTATTGCAAAACTATATTATACTGTGTCTAAGACTTTGTTCAATACATATTACAGCAATATTTCTGCACTACTGCTAAATTTCAGGAACAAAATAAAAAACTTCAAGTCTCCTACCTCTGCAGAACAACAAAACTGCAAAACATATACAATAGAAGGAAATATTTTACCTGGAAAAGGTGGAGGGGGCCCTCCAGGTCCAGCTGGTCCCGGAAATCTGTCTCCTCCAGGAAGGGCACCTGGAAAACGGCCCCTCCCTCTGTTACTTGGAGGAAAAGTTGCTCGTGAACTACCTCCTGGGGGACCAGCTTTTCCTTCACCAGACATCTGGCCTGATTGTGTAGCTGCAGTTAATGAAATAAAGTGCTTGAAGTGTACTACAGAATTAACAAGACTTTTAAACTGGTTTATTCTATGTCAATTATAGTTTTCATTGGCAATTTTACAGGCAACATATTTTAATAAGAGTTTTGTTTTGTATGTTTTTGTTTTCATTTAGAAAGAAAATTGTACAAAGAAATTTTTACCAAGAAAAAAGAATGTGATTCTCTGGTTTTTATCTATCTACTAGAGTTTAAGATCTTAAAGTAATTTGGCTAGAATATATGTTACAGGTAGTCCTCGACTTACAACCACAATTGAGCTTAAAATTTCTGTTGCTAAGCAAAACATTTGTTAAATGAATTTTGCTCTATTTTACAAGCTTTTCTTGCCACACTTTAGTGCATCCATTGCAGCTGTTAAGTTAGTAACATGGTTGTTATGTGAATCTGGCTTCCCCATTGACTTTGCTTGTCAGAAGATTGTAAAAGGTGATCAGTTGACACTGGGACTTTCAAGTGTCATAAATATGAACCAGTTGCCAAGCACCCGGGTTTGATCACATAACCATGGAGATGTTGCAATGGTCATAAAGTGTGAAAAACAATCATAAGATACTTTTTTCAGTGCTGTTGTAACACTGAACAATCACTAAACAAACTGTTGTAAGTCAAGGACAACCTGTACTATACGTATGCTTAGAGTTAAGTGCACCCAATGAAATATTAGGACTTGATATTTTTTTTTTCAAAATGACCCATGAGATAATCCAGGGGTCCCCAACCTGTGGGCTGTGGCCTGCTGGTCACTGGCCGCGGGAAAGGCTGGCCAGTGTACACATGTGTGTGCGCGCACTCACCCACTCACAAACAGCACAGCACGGCAAAAATGGAGTGGTGCTAGGGAGTGTCATGTGGGCACTAGTACCATTTGTGTCGCGCATGCTCATGGCCCCGTAAAAGATTCCCCCTCCCTTTCCCTCTGATCCACCAACCGAGAAAGATTGGAGACCTCTGAGATAATTTATAGTGCTTCTGTGAGCTTTGAAAAATCAATTCCCAAATCCCTGAACAAATTAATAAATAGTTTCTTAATTTTGATATGATGGTCTTTATTATTTCTTCAGTAAGATCTAAAAGCATTTTTGTAAATAAAGATCACAAACCACATCTAATGGAAATCTTCACCCACTTTGCTCATGATACTTATGTTGCTTACCACTTTTTTTATTAAATATGCTAAATTGCTTAATAAACTTCAGGTGCCTGAAATATTCCCCATACCAATAGGCACACTAGAAACTTAGATTCTTCAAAAGGTAAAACAACTTTTAGTTTAGTTTTCTGCGGAAGTGTAATTATGTTCTACAAGACAAGCAGTAAAACATACCTTCAGGGAACAAAATAACTTATCCATACAATTTTTTAATTTAAAGAATTACATAGTAAACATTCTTGAGACTTTCTATTATAATTTAAAAGTAAATTAATAACACAGAAACAGTTCAAACTCAGTTGTAAAAATTATGAATAAATGAACCACCATTTTCTTCCATTACTAGTGAGAGTTGTGGTATGGGGCAGTACAAAACAAAAATAAGACAAAGTAGAAAAAACACTTTAAGTCTCTTTCAAGGATTCTCATAGTAAATATTTCCTAAGCAACAATGTATGGATTTAAGTATCAGATAAAAGAAAAATCAGTCTTCAGAGGCAAGTCCTGCTTACTGCTTTCATGAACAGGACTCCAGTGGCAATTGTTTTGACTATAGTAATTAACCATATGTGTCTTCTCCATACATTTGATGCAATTCTATTTAGAATAACTGCTAAATACTCTAAATGATTAGCAGCATATAGATTTCAAATTAATCTACCTCTATGGAAAGTACGACCTACCCCGAAAATAAGCCCTAGCTTGATTTTTGAGGGTAGGCGTAATATAAGCCCTACCCCAAAAAGAAGCCCTAGTTTTGGGGCGAGGCGCATGCCTAAAAATCAAGCTAGGGCAGGGATGGGGGGTGGAGCTTACCATTGCAGCCAGGCCTCCCATGGATTGACACTTGCCTCGCTGGCCCACTTCTTCTGCGGCCAAGGGAGGAGCTTCATTCTGCAGCTAAGAATGGAACTCTAGCCTGCATTTCACCGTCAGAGGCCTTTCTGGAAGGCCTCTACAACCAAAATCCGAGCTATGGATTCAATCTGTAGCTTGGTTTTCAGCTGTGGAAAGGCCTCTGATAGCGAAATGCAGGCTGGAGTTCCATTCTTAGCTGCAGAATGAAGCTGTTCCTTTAGCCACAAAAGAAGTGGGCTGGCTGGGCGGGGCTGTTGGTGCCACGGCAATGAGTGGAAAAGACCCCCCCTGAAAATAAGACCTGGTGCCTCTTTTGGAGGCAAAAAAAAAAGACCGGGTCTTATTTTCGGAGAAACACTGTAGTTAGGTTACTCATTTAACTGAGAATTATGTAACACAGCTTATTCACATATGTTGAAGAAAATATGTAAAGAATAAAACTTCTAAATCCTTAATTAATTTTATAATAGCCAGTAGGGATACAATTATGTTTATTCCAAATGCACAGGCGAGTTAACTGTTACTATTTTTTAAATAGAAAACATGAAAATAGTAAAACTGTGCATATTTTTTAAATGGTTCAAAATAAATGTTTTGGACCTTACACAGATGCAGCACCTCTTTGCTCTTCATTAAAGCAGTGTCTGTTTTTCAGACTTCGGCACAAGTCTGAAAAAAGATGTCCTGCTTTAAGTGTCATATTAAAAGCACTGTGCTTTAATTTAATTAATAAATTAAAACAGTGAAAATCAGGAAATACTATGTAGCCCTTAAGAATAAAACATATTATGCTTGTACTCTATCCAAAACATTTTATAAAAATAAATTTGAGATGTATATAGATCAGGGATCCCCAACCCCTTGTCCGTGGACCGGCACCAGTCCGTGGTCTGCCAGAAACTGGCCCGCGCAAACAAGCAAAGTCCCATCCACAGGATGCAGGCAGTAGATTAAAACATGCCCCCTCCAGTCCATGGAAAACCTCTTTCCACAGAACTGGTCCCTTCTGTCCAAAAGGTTGCGGACCGCTGATACAGATAACGTTAAAAATCACTATGAATAATTTGTTAATAAAACTAAAGAAACATGTTTTTCTTTTATTTCCAAAACATACTATTTCCAGCAGTCTTCAATAGTAGTTTAAACAAGATAGACCTTCAGTAAATGAGATTGAAAGATAGCACATTATATAAAAATTATTAATCATTCAAAAATATAATATAGTAATTGGTAATTTCTAACCCATCTCCTCCCAAAATGTTTTCCAGTTCACAGGAAGTAGTAGAGAACAATTCTTACTTTTTCTCGATTGCAGTTCAAACTGACTCAGAAATTGCTTATTACAAGGAGTTACAACAGGATTTTGACCATGTAACTCTCTTTTAGGCAACAGGTCCATCAGCTTTTTGGAAGATGCCTCAGATCCCACACCTACAAGAGCAAATCTGGAGGACAGACAATATAATTTTATGATGAGGATTCTTAACCGATCCCTAAAAGATGGATAACATGCTAAACCAAGCCACATTATGATTTAGCACAATGTGCAATCATAGGTATATTATATTCAGCCACTTAGAATATCCCATAACTCTCAATAATTATAATCATGACTTAATTTTTAAATGTGGAACTATTTTTTTCACCCCATAAATTATTTTCCAAGTTTTCCAGAAATACTTTTTCTACATCGTCTCAGCTGTTGTTTATAATCTGATTCTGTTAAAATCAGTAGTTTTCTCATTCTGATCTCTGATCTTCCTCCCACCTATTTTTTTTCCTATTCATCTGTATTGACTTTCAAAATAAATATATTGTAACACATCTTTAGAAATAACATCTGTGCTGAATTTAAATACATTCTTACCCCTTAGATTGGCCATTAGCACGGTTTTCAAAAAATTTTATCTCCAAAATATCATTTACACCAAGTGAATGAACTGCTTCAGTTAAATCTTCATCTGTGGTCCACTGCAAAACAGTTGTAAATGACATTTCTAACATAACAAAGGAGCACAATTCTTTTCTCAACACAACATTCATAACAATAATGCTCAACACAATGCACAAATATACACACTAACATATTCCATAGTTTAAAAATAAGTAAGCTGCAAGTTCATTTCACAAATCTGTTATTGATTATAAATCCTAAAAAGTATGTTACAATCACAATTATAGTTTAGTAATAGTTTATATTCCACATGGGAAAAAATGTTTCATGTTTGCACCTTCAAGTAAGTTTTCAGAAAAACTGTTTCCCAATAAATGTTACAGAGCGACTGCCAAACTAAGTAAGTAATTCTGAATTAAATTGATTACGGACTAAATGACTAATACAGCAGTAACTAATCAAGCACTTACCCAAGTAAGATTCCGATTAATACACTTACCCAAGTAAGATTCCCAATATATAACGCAATTCTCTTTCCTGTATATGTATAGACAACATTTGGTGCTGATCCTTTGCCTACATCATCTCCAACAGATGGTGGAAGAGAGTCCATATAATCACGATCCTCTGGTGCATCACCGTTATTGGCAGAGGGAGAGATGACGTCATCATACAGATCTATCTGATCATGCCCACCATATTCAGCCTCCTAAATGACAATGTACAAATATTAATAATCAGTTTATTTATCCAAAATAATCCAACATCACACTGTAATTTCCATAGTGTCTACCTTTTTCTGTATCTTGTCTGTGCAAGGTAGTGGACTGTAGTGGAATGTCCACCTGAAGGAGGGGGAGATTTTTGGCAACAGAGTGCATAGAAATAAAATTATATTGTATCTGCCATATAATCTATAATTTATAATATATACTGTAGGTAAGCCAAATTTGGCTACAACAATCCTTTTGAATTTTCAATATTTTTGCAGATCAAAACATGATCTCTTCTCCACAAGTCCTAAAACTAGACAAAGAGAATCCAATTAATCAAATGAGTCACAAACATTATACTCACTAATTTATTGAGGAAGATGATCCAAGCTACATATGTTATGTAGCAAATGTATATGAACTTTAAGGATTATCTCCTTCATGTGAAGGAGAATGTCATGGTTCCAACAGACACAGACGAATAAAGCAGAACTCCGAGGCTTGAGAATTCCTCAAAGAACATGTTTATTAGTTACAAAGTATCGGCATGGTCAAAAGTGAAACCAAGTCTGAATACACAAGTAACAATTGCCCAATACAAAGTTAAATGTCCCACCCATAAAACTATGCAAGCAACTACATTTCCCAATATGATTATTTGGTGGGCTTTTTATGCAACGTCCAGTCCCTACTCTCGGGAGCAGCCAATGACCTTGGTTCCCACGGGACAGAATATTATTTTGACTAATGAAGCACCTGGGCAACACCCCTTCTCCGTTCTAGTGGCAACCTAGAATGAGAAGAAAAAAACAGCTGCAGCCATGATCATTTGTAGAGTTGACAGTGAAATTAAGAGTAGGTGTTTCAATCAATGGAAGGGGCGTTGTCTTACCTGAACGCCTTTTCTCAGCACAGAGATGGAGAATCCACCAATGGGTTTGCTCTGTCTTCCTGCCCAATAGATCAAGTCAGTCAAACTTGCCACGCCCATCCTAGATTAGGACACACCCAGTCTTGACGAGGGCAAAAGCCACTGACTATGGTCTGACGTGTTGGCTCCCAGAACCCTAACACTGGACCTGGCGGGCTCAAACGGGCGGAAGTGGATTCTCCATCTCCGTGCTGAGAAAAGGCGTTCAGGTAAGACAACACCCCTTCTCCAGCACAGGAGATGGAGAATCCACCAATGGGACATACCAAAGCCTCACTGTCCCTGTGGGAGGGAAGCAGTCAGGTCCAGTGTCTCATCCCTATATACCACCTGTTGGAGGACCCTCCGACCAAAGGAGGCATCCGCAGAGGCAAACCTGTCCAGTTTGTAATGCCTCACGAAAGGTGAAGGCGAAGACCATGTAGCTGCTCTACAAACGTCCTCGATGGATGCCTGAGTGGCCCATGCCACCGAGGTAGCCGCACTGCGCGTAGAATGCGCCATGACATGACCTGGAACCAGCAGGGAATGCAACTGGTACGCTCCCACAATGCAAGCCCTGATCCATCTGCCTATCGTAGAGGCAGACACCCTCCTCCCCTTGGAGGAATGGTGAAAGGAAACGAAGAGGGCTTCGGACTTGCGGAAGGCCGCCGTCCGCTTGATATAGCAGCGGAGGGCCCAGCGGACGTCCAGAGAATGCCATTGCCGTTCCAGGTCATGAGATGGATTAGGGCAGAAATCTGGAAGTACAATTTCCTGAGCCCCATGAAACAAAGTGTTGACCTTGGGAATAAAAATAGGGTCCAAGCGAAGGACCACCCGGTCCCGATGAAAAATGCGTAAGTCATCCCTGATGGAAAGCGCCACCAACTCAGAAATCCGCCTGGCAGATGTAATTGCCACCAGGAAGGCGACCTGGACAAGGACCGTAGGTCACAGGTTCTGAGAGGCTCAAAGGGTGTCCTGGTGAGGGCCCGTAGAACCTGCAGCAAAACTCCCAAGAGGGATACCTATGAACCACAGGAGGCTTGGTGTTGGTGGCGCCCTTGATAAATGAGCGTATCAAAGGATGTTGACCTAAGGGCACCGAGTTGTCACAGGTAAGTATGGTGGAGAGAGCCGCCACCTGTCTGCTTATGGTATTAGGCGCCAAGCCCCTGTCAAGACTCTTCAGTAAGTAGTCCAAGATCCTTGGAACAGTCAAGTCCGAGATAGTCAAATGGTGTCTTTCACACCAATGACAGAAATTCTTCCAAGTGGAATTGTAGATACGTTTTGTCGCAGGCCTCCGGGAGGCCTGAATCATGGAGATGACGCCTGGCGAACAGGAGTCCTCAGTCAGAATCCGGCGTTCAAGTGCCAGGCGGTCAACTGAAGCCACTGGGGGTCTGGATGATGCAGGACCCCCTGGCTGAGAGAAATGCGAACCGGAGGAATCCTCCATGGAGGAGACCTGGAGAGGTTCACAAGGTCGGCAAACCATGGCCTCCGTGGCCCATACGGAGCCACGAGGAGCACCTCCACCCTCTCCTGCAGGAGCTTGCGGATGACTGCCGGAATCAGAGGGAGAGGAGGAAACGCGTAAAGCAGACCCTCCGGCCATGGACCTCGAAGAGCATCCGCAGAGTCACTTCACCTCAAAGGGAGATCCCCAGGCCAACTTTCAAGCACCTTACCATTAATAAGAACAATAGCATTTCTTCGTCCTTGGGGCCACAGGAGGGCATGGCTAATACACACTAATACTGGTAACTCAACAATTAGTATAGCTGCCAGATGAAGTGTAGTCATCATGTTACTCTTTGGCTTAAGACAATGGTTCTTCTCCCAAAGTGACAAAAACAAAGACTGAGCAGTCAAGTTGTCAGACTTCCCATCCTAGGTTCAGCAGTAAATCACACCAGATACTTCATGGCTTAATTTCTCAGAAGACTTAGGGACATGGTTCAATGAGATTAGAAATGAAGCCATTATGCAGTAGTTGACTGCCTACTATCAGTACAAAATTACCATTATATTTCATGGGTTAAATTTGTGGTTTCCTCTCACCCTTCTAAATTAACAGACTTTAATATAACACCTAATAGCTATGAACCTAAGCAGATGTCCTACGTTTAGATAAAGGCCATCTCATGGCCAGGTAACCACTACTTCCTGCATCTATTCCTCAATTCTTCCATATCTAGCCTCTAAGAAAACCAATTATTTAATTTTAATATACAAGAAATTATTCAGATTAGATGGCAACTTACAAAAGCAGCAGGGTTATATGACAACCATAACCAGATGTTCTATTTTGAACATAGTAACTTTTGCAGCAATTTTTCATTTACATTTTCTTTCATTGATTTTAAATGTATCAGATGGCAAATTTACTAAATACATACAAAGCAAAAAGCTAAGCCGGACAGAAACTTGTTAATACTTCAATGAAAAGCCACCAAAAAAATTCAGGGGTCTAGACTACAAAGTTGAGAAAACTTTCTAGAAGAAGACCAAGCTATTTCTATACTGCTGCCAAGAGAACTATACTGAATCACCAGAAGTTGCACTCAACTTAAGGAAGTATTTAAATTTTAATTGTATTATTTTAATTTAATTAAGAATAGTTTTCATCAAAGTTTTATCCACTTCTGGAGCAGAGCCCCCAAGCCTGCCATTCAAAAATAGGGCAGCTCTCAGACTGGAAAAATTGCATTATCTTTGCTTAGCATAATGTGAAATCAGCCATCTCTTCCAATTACATTTGGCAAAAACAACCATTCCTTGCAAAAAAAGAAAAAAGTACCATACTCAACTTCAAAAAGAAAAAGAATGTATCCAAAAGGTGTGTATCCTTTAAACATGTATTAATGTTAAGTGAAACAAGGAATTTGCAGCATTCCTAATAAGACTATTGTCATTATAGGTGTAAACTACCAGAAGACAGAACAATACATTTTAAAAGTTGCAGACTTGTGACCTGTACCTTAGCAAATATACAATGGACCCCCCCCCAAATAAAGTACTTACAATCTGGTTCCAAAGTTCTAACTGCTGCACTCCAGTCATATAACCACATTTCAGACAACTGGTTCTCACTTAACAGCCACTTGCAGTGTCCTGGTCACATGACCGTGAGTTATTTTTTCCAAAAACTGGCATTTACTTCCAGTTTGCAGCAAAAATGTCCCACAGAGAATGGGTTCACTTAATGACCATAGATTTGCTTAATGACCATCACAAAAACATTTATAACACATGGGTGACCTGCTTGACGACCATAACATTTTACTACTATAATGGTCAGACTCTATTACAGTTGTGTCGAGGACTACCTATGAGAAATTTCCAAGAAGGAAAAAGACTTTAAATTTAAAACACATTCCCAAAAGTAAGTCTACAAATGAAAATGCAAAATCACATACAGAAAATATTTCTGTATTACTCTCTTGGGTTTTAGTCAGCACTACAAAATAGGAATGATAGCTGCAAGAAATGTGCAAGAAATGTGACTGTTGTGGTCAAACTTCCAAAGAAATCCCCCCCCCCCCCAAACCAGAGGCACAGACAACTTTTCCTCAAGAATCCAGTTACGGCAGCAAGAATAAAAACATTAGAAGAAGAAAAAAGGCAGCCCAGTGAAAGGATGCCTGAGCAGGAAATGGAACTTGTTCACATCATCTCACATGCAGGCAAAAATGAAAGTAAAACCCAAAAGAAAGTGATATTTAATCCTTTTTCATTTAATACAAAACAGACCATAGGGGCATTGAATCCTTGCAGAATATAAAATACATCCACAATCAAATCTGATTTGACACATTTAGAATATCTTTAAAAGCAGAGACGAACTGACTTTTGGAACTAAGTGTAAAACAGAGCAGGAAAAACTGTCAGGCATTTGACTTCTTTTATTTTGTTCTTTAGATTCACATGAAGCAGTCAAGCAGAGCTCACAAATCATCAAATCAGCAGTAACCTCAGTTAAATATTGCTTCTGCAGGAAAATCTAAAGATGAAAACTTTTTAGTGGAAATAATAAAAGACAATAGAAAATATCTTGGCATTCTCAGGAATCATCCCACAAACAGGAATACCGATTCCTGTGGCATGTCTCCAACTAAAAAATCCAGAGGACAAATGAGTTAGATTGCTTTTTTTTCTTCAGGATGATTGTAAAATTGCTCCAGCAAATCAAGATTTCTCTCAATCTTATCCTTCCAGGGTACATGGGACAGAAAAACTTACCAGATACTCCAAGCTTTTTATTGGACCTATCAGCTTCACTGCACTTTCATTTCCCAATGAGTCAATAATCACTATCTACTATGTGAAGATGCACTTGTAGAGCTACTTCTAACTGGAGTTGAGAAGCAAAGAGTAGCTATAGATGCTGATCTTTATTAAAAGTAACATTACACAGCATGTAGTTTTTTCTACATTGACATGCCACTCATTATATGTAACTCCAGCTACAATGCTAAAACCCCAGTACTACTATCAAATCTCATTGAGGACCACCATTTTACATTATCTCCAATTGCAGTTATGACTATATAAACATTCCAATTCTTGATACAGCACATTTAGAAATCCCTGGTACAAAGGCTCAAGATAGAGAGATGTATGTCCAGGACCTAATTATTCATTCAATATCTACAAAACTTCCTACTAGCACAATTATCAGCCCACTCAGTAAGTAACCTTTCAGGAAGTCTAAGAGAAACAACTCAGGAATTTAATCCCAGCATCTTCAAGAAGCTGCAGACAAGGAAAGATTTTGAAGAAATCAATATACAACCTGAGTTGATCATGCACCCACAACACCAAGCTTGCTATTCTCTGGTGATCTCCCATCCAAATCATAATCAGGTCTATCCATGCTTAGCTTCTAGCACTTGCTATTTATTGTCTTGGCCTTGCCCATTTTGGGAACTGGACTTCAGGCAACTATGTATTCACAGAATATACATATATGTATATATACATGTGCCATATTTTTATGGGTACACTGGGGTCTCTAGGATTAGTTTCGTTGAAGTTGGCAACCTAAACTGATATAGTCAGGGAGACAGACATTGCACAACTCTGTTTATCACTTCATCTAATATTTATGATTACCTTCTGTTTAAATAAACATGGTAAAATTAGTGCCATAAATGTAATCAATAAGGGAGAAATCGTTGAACATTCAATGATGTATCTGCAATACACTTCTGCACCTTTTAAAAATCAATCTTATAGTTCTGCCATCCTACTTTTCTCCAAATTTCTGGGAATGGTATCATCTTTTTAAACATCTTTGCAATATCATCTGCATAGACTATACAGAAGTTGTTAAAGTGTAGATATTTCCTGCTATTAAAATATACAAATTACATTTTAATATGAGAAATCAAATACCAAACTACTGGAGTGCCACACTACTCTAACGAGTATAGATTTAGAATTCATAACATATCTGCAGATATTACGGTTGAGTTTGCACTTATGGCAATAGTAATAAAATATAAAGCAATGGAGTATGACTTAATATACAAATCAAGCCAATTATGCAAAAGCATAGAGCAAACCCACTAGTCTACTTTTCCTTGAATTTTTTTTTGTCAAGTTCTCCTCTTAAGTATAGGTAGTCCTCGACTAACAGTTCGTTTAATGACTATTCAAAGGTATCACAGCACTGAAAAAGTGACTTAGGACCATTTTTCACACTTATGACTATTGCAGCAGCCCCTTGGTCATGTGTTCAAAATTCAGATGCTTGACAACTGATTCATATCTTTGATGGTTGGAGTGTCCCAGGGTCATGTGATCACCTTTTGTGACCTTCTGACAAACAAAGTCAATGGGGAAGCCAGATTCATTTAATAACCGTGATACAAATATAATTGTTTGTTGCATTGTTAAATACTAATTATTGTATTACTAAGTATTGTTAATTTAACTTAACAAATGTGGCAAGAAAGATTGTAAAATGGGGTAAAGCTCACTTAACAAATGTTTCACTTAGCAAAAGAAATTTTGGGCTCAATTGTGGCCATAAATCAAGGGCTACCTGTAATCAGTTGGAATTTTCAGACAATATTTTCTGCAGGGCTGTAAGTACAGGAAGTCCTTGATCTACAACCATTCGTTTATGACTGTTCAAAGTTACAATGGCACCAAAAAATTGACTTATGACTGTTTTTCTCACTTATAACCACTGCAGAGATCACATGAACAAAATTCAGACTCTTGGCAACCGGCATGTAATTATGATACTTGCAGTGTCCCAGGTTTGTGTTACTAACTTTTGCAACTTATGACAAGCAAAGTCAATGAGAAAGACTGATTGACTTCCTAACAACTGTCGCAAGAAAGGTTGTAAAATGGGGCAAAACTCACTTAACAACTGCCTTGCTTAACAACAGAAATTTTGGGGTCAATTGTGATCATACATTGGGGGCTGACTGCCTGTACCTCAATTGTTATTCTGCATTTGATTAGCCAACAGAAAATTACTTTGCCTTTGAAAAAAAATTGGATGCCCAGCTTTGAATGCTTGTTGATATAAAGAACTATAAAACTGTAATCCAGAGTATGACAAATGGAAGACTGTTATTCAATTAGTTCAAGTACTGACAGCTTGCTGTAGCCAGGTCAAGTTGTGATGAAGATACAGATTATTTCCCTCCCATACTTTTTAAAATTATATAGCATTGATTTTACTGAATAAATCATATATGCTAGTCTAACCTTGATGTCAAAAATGGAGGAAACAAGAAGACTTTGAATCTTATAAATAAGCAAAACACATATGCACTAAAATGCTCCCTGTTGGACTAGACATAAACCTGCAAAGTTTTTAATAAATATTTTAAAAGCCTAATTTCTAGCATCTATTTTGATAATTTCTCCTTTCTTAATGAACAGTGTGTGTGTGTGTGTAAAAGCAACTTTAAAATATGGAAGAAAACAAGCAAAAATTTCAAAGCAGTTAACACATCAAACAGAATTATATTTTGGGGGACATTTTTAAAAAAGAGCACATTGCTTTAAAATAAATCTCCTATGATAAATGTTTAAAATAAATCTCCTATGATAACATAGAAAAAAAAGAATAAATAACTCAATATCCCAAGATAGAACAGAGCCAAATTTATCAGTTTTACATCATAGTATGCTATTTAGTGCTATCATTGACTGGGAACATAATTATGCAATCGAACTGTTTTACAATTCTGTCCAATTCTACCGATTTCAAAAATAAAAATTATTTCCCCAACGTGTAAAATATATCCATTTAATCTTTATGAATTAATCTGAGAAAGCCGATGCTTCTTAAAAAGTAACGGAAATGTCATTCTGATATAATCGAGTTTATTATTAAAACTTGCACATCGAACGTTGCTATTATTAAATTTTGTGCAAAAATAAAGAGAGCACCAAGGGAACTGCAAACTCTCTTTGGGGGAAAGGAATTACTTTTATCCCCTACAGGTTGAAAGCGATCACCTTCATGAATCCGCAACAGTTAAGGAGGCCGTGGAAGCACTCTTTTTTACGGCTTATAAAGGAAAGGCTGCCGTGTTTTTGTGCCGCGGTGTTCTAGCTTCCCTCTCCTTAAGGGAGCAGGCGGAATGGGGAATAAACAACGCGATGTCTTAGGGGAGAGACTCCTCCTTCGGCTCATTGTCTCCCAGCGCTTGGGAGCCCCGTCAAGAAAAGGGAAGAGGCGGAGCGGAGGGGGGAAGAAAAGGCGCATTCTAGGTACGATGCCGCGCCCCTGTCGTGCGATCCTCCGGGCTCTAAGCATAGCCGGTGTGCAGCCACGCCACACGCCAGGCGGGAAAGTCGCGCGGGGCCGCTGGTGAGCGCCACAGTCAACAATGGCGCCGGCTTCCCCCTGCGCTGAGAGGCCCGCAGTAGCCAGCCACGCTCTGCCACTCGAAACCGCAGGCCTCTCCCCCTCCCTGCAGTGCCATTTCTGGCTTGGAACGTCCCCGTGGAAAGCCGGCCACGCACAATTTCCTACCTGATTAAACTCTTCTCCTACATCGGCATAAATGTCTATGTGGTCCACGCCGTCCGCCATATTCCACGGATACTGCTTCGCCTCCGCCAGCCCCTCCTGGCTCTACAGCTGCCGCAGCCAGCCACCACCGGAGAGGAGGGGGCGAGTTAGCGCTGGGCGACGTCACTTCCGGGAACTAACAAGGGAACATCCGGCGGGTAGAAGTGCGGATACTCGGAAGGGCCGCAAGGATGGCCACGCCCACGCAGCGATGGAGGAGGGGACTCTCCTTGTCCAAACGTCCACGGAGATTCTCAATCATCCAGGTCATAGTTGTCCAAAAGGTGCTTTTCCAAAAGACAGTTTTTCAGTTCTTCAGAACTGAAGAAGCTTCTTAGATGAGAAGCGAAACGTTTTCAAGGAAAAGACCAAGAAAGTCCAGTTGCCTTTTGGAAGAACACCTTTGGGACACTTTCCTTGTCCTTTTTTCTGGCCAGTTCCATGCCGAACGAGTTGACAGCAAAGCTCACCTTACATTTTTGCAGCCGCAGATCAGTCCATTACTATTACGCAAATCAGTCCCCTTACCTTAGCCTTAACTCGCGCTGCAGAGCGGCTCAGAACCACCTACCAACAGCAGAAGTTTCGAAGGTGCCTTCTTGTGCTCCGGATCTATAGATGAGGAGAAGACAGAGGGGAAGAGAATGAGTCTAAATAAATGTTTCTCAAATTTGGCAACTTTAAGATGTGTGGGTTTCAACTCCCAGAATTCCTTAGCAACCCATCTTGCTGGCTGGGGAATGGCAGTTGAAGATCAGACATCATAAAGTTGCCAAGCCTGGTCTAAATTATACAAGCAGCCCATTTAGCTGGCAGCCACTTTCCAAGTCAGAAGGCTTTCTAAAGTCCTTATTAGCAGGGCTTTTTTTTGTCATAGAACGCCCAGAACAGAGTTCTGGCACCTTTTTTGGATGGAACCTTGTAGGGTAGACAAGGTGGGTTGTGTAACGTGTGTGAGTTCTGGCACCTTTTTTTTTTTTTTTTTACAAAAAAGCACTGCTTATTAGTATCTGCAATTTTCTTAGACTAGGATGTATTTTCAGATTACTAACCTCTTGTTTTCAGGATTGTGTGGAGTATATTCCTAAATCTTAGGGCAAAGCATAAACAGTGTTGGAATAATAAACAACTTCCCATGCATTAGCTCCTGGTTTCAGGCATCTCCCTTGCAGCTTTTCTTTATCTGATGCCCTCCAGAGGCACTGAACAACAGTTCTTTTAATTCTCAATCAGCAAAAGGAGAACCCAAATAGTCATCAAAGAAACTCATTTGTAATTTGAGACAGCAGTAAGGATTTGAGATTAGATTCCTGTAATGACTCTCTTGGGAAATAAACTCTTGTCCATTCTTTGATTGTTTTAGCTTTTGCTGGCATTATTAGTGGATAAGTAGAAAGAGCCAAGGGGGAAAATAGTAATAATAGGTAACATCCAAAGAAACACAGTGTTGTCTTTCTTTGAGGAACATAAGTTAGTTGTACATTGTATTTCACATCTAGTTTTAGCCAGTTAGGTGTAGTGGTTCAGATGTTTACCTAAGAACCAGGAGACTGAATTCTAGGCCTCCACTAGGTATGAAAGTCAATTGGTTGACTTAAAACCAGTCACACTCATCCTAACCCACTCACAGGATTGTTGTGGTGGTGGGGAAATGGGAGGCAGGAGAAATTAAGGGAATTGCCCTGAGTTAACCAAAGAGATTTTTTTTTAAAAAAAGTTGGGATGAAAAACATAATGTGTCACAAAAAGCTGGATGAATTAGAAGTTTCTACATACCTGCTGCCATCTAATGGTTGTTTAAAATACAGCTCAATTATAGTCCTAAGCTACTGAAATTGCACCTCATACTGTACAAGACCTCACACACAGGTGACTCTGTCACTGCCCTCAACTTCAGCAGGCATTGGCAACTAGACTGGACCGTCCAGCAGACAAGCAGGAGGATAATTTGCTTCTTTTCTGTTCCTTGGTGATAACTGCTTTTTTCAACAACCAGCAATGTCATCTTCACTTGCATCCCTGCCTTGTTCCTCCATTGCTTGGCCTTGTGTACTCAGTGAAGGAGGCAGATGCAGATACTAGATACACTATAAGACAGACATGTCAAACACATAAATAAATAAATAAATAAATAAATAAGGCCTGCCGGCCGGATGCGGCCTGGGGAGGGCCCAGATTTGGCCCCCCGGGGCTGTCCCAGAAATGGCAAGGGACCAGCCCCCGCTGCCCCAGTCCTGGCCCACCGCAACCCAGCTGGGCACCTTGGAGCAGTGCAGGAAACAGCAAGCGCTCAGGGGCTGGTGGTGTGCAGCAGCAGCTCATTTGTCTTAGCCCGCCCCTCCCCTCCCAGCTTAACCCCGTCACGCCTGGCCATGCCCCACTTTGCTGGGCTTCTCGTGGGGCTCTGCTTTGCCAGGCCAGAAAAGGTGAGAAGGAAAAGAAAGCAGGAAGGGTTACTATGTATGTGTGTGTGTATGTGAGGAAGAGAGACAGAGACGGAGAGAGAGAGAGTCAGGAGTGGAAAAGGAGGAGGTGGAGGAAGCCAAGGTGTTACAAAAAAGGAGCGCTTCCCCCATTCTTCCACTCCTTCTCTTTTTTTTTTAACTTCCTCCCACTCCGTTCAGGTGCAGCTGAGGAAAAGGATGAGGAGGAGAAAACAGAAAGGGTGTGTGTGTGTGTACAAAAAGGGGATCTCTCTGTCTCTCATACACATACACACATACACGGGAAGGTGGTGTGCAGTCAGGTGAGAGAGCAAAAGTGCAAATTAGCTTTGTGGTCTATTCTTGCCTCCTCCCTAAAATCCAGGCAATAATAAAACTCTTTGGATTGAATGGGAAGTTAGGAATTGGTGTGAGTTGAAATTAAAAGGCTGAGTCAACTCCTCCCCCCCCCCAATTATTTTGTGGGAGACAAAAATACTTCCCTTCATCTGCTCTTTTATAATTTAATCCAGCCTTACCCAAACTAATATATTTTGGTTGTCATGAACCACAGTTCCCATCATCCTGTGGCTATGCTGGCTAGAAATGCAATGCTTTATTTTCTCTGCAGTATA